GGTGGGGGGGGGGGTGTTTCAAAAGCTTCCTGGGGATTTGAGCCCTCATAGGATAAGGCCTGAGATGATACAAAGAGGTCAAAAGAGTGCGTGGAGCGTCCCAGCACTTTTCATGAAGCCTGAAACTGACATCATGGAGTCTGTTAATGATCTCACTCGCGGCTGACATCTGGAGGGCCCAGCACTGTGTTTTGAACTCTGCTGCCGAGGCCACTCCCGTGCATGAAAGCTTGTTCTCTTCGTGTTTGTCTCCCAGCATTTTCTTTAATGGTGAATTATAGGCTTTTCCTGCCCTTTCCTTTTTTATGGTCTTCTTATCCCTCTTAATTGAATTTCATTTTGTAAACTTTTTTTCTTCCAAGAGTTCATGTTTTTAAAGAGTGGGGTTCCATGTTATAATCCTGGTTTTATAAAACAAAGATCTTGGGCGCATGTCCCAGACAGTTACGAGTAAATCATTCTTTGATTGGACAATAAGCTCCTCAGGGCCGAGGAACGTCTGCCACTTGATAGCACTCAGTGATGCTTGATGAATGGAACGTTAGGTAAATATGGTCGGCCGGGTGCGGTGTCACTAGAGTTGGCCCCATTTGTGATAGGAAGCACAGAAGTCGCATCTCAACAGGGGGCAAAGCTATGTTCATCCCTGCACAGAGAAGGTCCGACATAGCAAGCATTTGCTGCCTGGGACTCGTGAACCTGTGGTGTGGGCACGGGCCCTGTCCTATCGACGAGGCGTGTCTTACTTTCCAGTAGAGACCAGTGTGGGGATCAGCCCCACCATTAGCACATAAACGATAAAATAAGACTAAATAAAAACAATTTGCAAAACCCAAATTGTTTCCCATGAGAAGTGAATGTAAATGAAGTGGTCTTCCAAATTCTGTGCTGTCATATTTGACATGGTGTTTCCCTTGCTCATCCTTAATAACAGTATCAAGGTGACTGAATTTTGAAAACTTCAAAATAACTTCATTTTCTTCTCTTCCTCTTCTTCCTCCTCCTGCTTTCTTCTCCTTCCTTCTCCTTCTCTTCTCCCCTCCTTCTCCTGTCCTTCTCTCCTCCTTTCCTCCCGTGTCAGAGGTGACACATGAACTCATTTTTTTGGTTGATTTTTCTTTGTCACATGGCATCCTCCTCCTCCTCCTCCTCCTTTTCCTCACTATTATGGTTATTTGCTGTTTATAAAATCCCTTAGAAGCCCAGTACCTTCAGGGCTTAAACATCTTGATTTAGATGTTGATTCTTTTAAAAAATATATTTTATTGATTTTTTACAGAGAGGAAGGGAGAGGGATAGAGAGTTAGAAACATCAATGAGAAAGAAACATCGATCAGCTGCCTCCTGCACACTCCCTACTGGGGATGTGCCCACAACCAAGGTACATGCCCTTGACCAGAATGGAACCTGGGACCCTTCAGTCCGCAGGCTGACACTCTATCCACTGAGCCAAACCAGTTAGGGCTAGATCTTGATTCTTAAAGGTAAAGGAAATTATCTGCTGTTGACTTTAGTTTCTTCATTACCCCATCAAACTTCCATATTTCTGATTTACAACATAGACACTTCATATGAGAGGGTTCTGTATGAGAAAAGCCAAGCTTTGTGGCAGCTGCTGCCTCTGAGCCTGAGGGAGAGCTTGAGGAGGGGTGAGTCTTCCTCAGAGAGAACATCAGGCTTTTCTGTAGAATTCGACAAAACTTGAAAGCATAAATGACAGTAACCAAGTTGTCTTTTTACTCAGGAAATTTACTAAGCATGTTTAGTGCCTTTGTGAAACATTTTCATTTCTCTAGATTTTCTGCAAATTTGTATTGAAAGACAAACAAATGAGTTTCTTAATTTCTCTCCACTACTTCAACTATCTGTAAGAAAATGGGCAAAAATAATGGAGCTGCTGCCTGGGGACGGTGGGAAATGTGGCTCTCCACGGAGAGAATTCTTTTGAAAGTAAGAAAAAGCAAGAAACAGGAGTCCTCTCACCATTGCACTGAATGTGCTTTGCAAATGGAAAAAGTACTAAATTTAGCATTATTACCATCAGTGGTTGCAGAGATTGTTGTATTCGATTGTGAAGAAAAATAAACCACTTAGGGTGCTATGTCAGTCTGTTCTCTGATATCTTTGGAGGGAGTTGATTGGTTTTAATGACACTCAGTAATAAAGAATATAATGATATACCACCAGTGTCTTGAGACCCAGTGATTCAACTAAAAGTTTCCAAGTGGATAGATCATCTTCATTTAATATAGTCCAGTGCCCTGGCCAGTGTGCCTCAATGGTAGAGCTTTGGCCTGTGCACTAAAAGGTCATGGGTTTGATTCTCAGTCAAGGGCATGTACCTGGGTTGCAGGTTTGATCCCCGGCTCCCACTGGGGGCATATGCAGGAGGCAACCAGTTGATGTGTCTCTCTCACATTTTTTTTTTTAATCTTTCTCTCCCCCTCCCTCCCTTCCACTCTCTCTTAAAAAAAAAAATTAGTGGAAAAAATATCCTTGGGTGAGGATTAACGAAACAAACTAATGAGAAAAAGAGTATTATTATGGTAAAGAACGTGGTAATTCATACATTCACTAATTCTGTTTATTTGTGTGTGTATGTGTGTGTGCTCGTGCTCTAGAAAAGTAGCATTGACAACAGTTAACACTTATGTGTCAAACCTTTTTCTAAACTCTCTCTTTAATCCTGTTAACAGGAGAGGTGGGTGCTGTTGTTATCCCCATTTTATTTTAAGGAAGCTGAGACCCAGAGAGGTCCTGTGACTGGCCCAAGGTCACACCGGTAGTGAGCGTGAGAGCCTGGATGTTTATCACATTGCACATCTAATACTCTTTCTGGGAAATGTTCAGATATTCTTTGCTGTAACCTAATTCAGTGGCCTGAGTAACCAGCCACTGTTCACTTTAATCCAAAGCACCAGAAACATCCACTCAAGGAACGTGTTTTATAACAGGCCGCTATGAGAAAACGAGATAAATATGTATGAAATTGTCTTAGAAACTGATAGGTAGATGCTGTGATGGTGATGGTGGTGAGTACCACCCCAGGAGAAATCAGACCTTCCATTGTCTTGGTGATTATATCTTAAGTGATAGATTAGTTTACAATTCAGATCTTAATTTAGTTAATGTTGGGCATAGACATTAAGTGGAGTGATTTGTATTGAGTGAAAAACCAATAGTTTGCTTAAAAATAGCAAACTACTAGTTATTCTAATTTCTAAAACTAAAACAGAAAAGCACTGAAGGTACTGGTTTTTTTTAAGTCTATTTTTCTTTTACACTTTATAATCCTGTTTGCCATTACCCTTTTTGGTAGATTTAGCTTAATCTAATGTCACAGATAAAATCTTATAACAATTTTTAATAATATAAAACAAACTACCTTTAGAGTTGGACTGAAACTTAATAATAGCTATTACCCAGTTACTCAGGATGGAGTGCCTTTTATTCACGAGGAACTTAATGGGTTATTTAAAGTAGGTAGGACAGACTTTCTCAGCTACCATTATCTCCCCCAAACTTAACCTAAGAAATAAGTTAATATCCTTGAAAGGACAACATTATTCATGTTTAAGATACCAATCCAGACATAATGATTAAAAATAAATACTATTCTGAACCACATGTCCTAACTCACTGTCGGTGAAAACTGTTCCAAGTGTCAAAAATAGATTGGTGTTACCTTTTGAGTTAGCCTCAAGTTTTTGAGTTAGCTTCAAGTTAGCTTCAATAGCTATTTTGATTGTGTAAGTTCTGTTTACCATACGTTTTTCTACTTCGAAGTATTAGTCATTGGACAAAAATGTGTGAAGTGCGAGGTGTTTTCTACTACTGTTGATAACTCAGAGTACCATCTGCCTATTTACACTGCTCTTATTACATCATGTTCTAGCACACTTTCATAAATTCTAAGGCAGAAAGTGTAAAAATCCTTTGGTGTTCCCCCTATCCCTACCTCCTGTTGAAGGCTCCTAGGTCAAGACTATCTTCAAATCGAAACTACATTATTAAGCAATATTAATGTTTCCACATTTTTATTTATCAAAGACATATGTAACCAACTATATACAAGGAGCATGCCCTGGCAATTCTTATGATGTCATCAACAGCCAATCAGGTTTTCTCATTATCATGAAGTAATCATTATCACCATATTGACTTGATTTAATTTCAGTGAAGATCAAAGAAACTTGATGTTTTACCACACGTGTACTGTCACATTCTAGCTAAATATACACCCCTCCCCACTTCTATCTAGGCCATGGTAAAACGTCTTAACTCAGAACCTGCTTACTATTTATTTCTGCCCCAACGGCAGTTCGTTTTGTCCCCACATAAAAACACATCGCTGGTACAAGTCTGTCTGAGCTGAAGATTTTTTTCCCCCCCAAAATGAAAATAGCATTACACAGCGCAGAGAATTTTGAAGCCAAGTTGAAACCACAAAGACCAGAACACATGCCTGATTAAACTGTAATAAATTTTCTCGGGTCCAGGTGAAGACATTGTTTAACCCCGGCAGCGTCACTTGAATCCTGAGTGAACTAAAATGCCAGGTGTCGTGAGGTGGAGCAGCCAGGTAGTTTCAACACTGTTTGTAAACACTTTTGCTGAAATGAAAACATCTTCTAAAGACACTTATTAAATGATCTTAAAACAACCTCTGTGATATCACCATATTTTTAAAGATAAAACTGTCCAAAGAATGCTTTCATCGCGGTTTTTAATTGTGCCCATATTGTTATATACAGGGAGGCCCATGATGAATTGCTCTCCTTTTTTGTTGAGAGCAGGGGGAAATTAAATAGAGCTGTTGCAGAAGAGGTTTCTGTTA